GAAAATTTTTAACCATAAGATATTGCTACATAGTTAATTATTGACTATATGAAACACTGCAGCTACACCTTTTTTATGAATTTAGTTACCTACTAATTTACTAATCCACAACCAAATCACTCCTCCACTGCCAAATCAATATTTAACAGTGAAAGAGTGACTAGTTTGAAATTTGATATATATTTCGTTATTATGCGTATATTATATATTATAGAAAAGTATGCAGAAAGTTACATTTAAATATTATCCTTGCTTCATTTACATTTGTTTACATTGTACGAGTATGGAGTTAGATTCAGTTGTGTGGAAATAAATTTATTTTTACCTAGCCGCTTAGTTGGAGCTCTAGATAGTATTGCTTTACCTTAACTTTAAAAGACTGAGTGGAGGAGAGGATTCGCAAGGGAGGGGGAATATTATTCCATATTTTGGCGGCCATGTATTTGAAACTACCCCTATAGGCAGATGTTTTATGAGGATGGACTATGAGTGCAACATTACGAGGAAGGCGAGCAAATTTTTGTGTTCTAGAGGACCAGGTGAGTTTATTGTATAGATAAAGAGGCCTACATGTTTTAACTACATTGAAGAGTAAAGATGCAAAATGAACCAATCGCCTAGATGACATGTTTAGCAAATTAGCACGATTAATGAATGGTGTAACATGGCCTCTTGGAGGAACATCGAAACAAAATCTTATTCAGGCATTCTGTACGCGTTGCACTAGGTTTTTGGTTTTGGCTAGAAGTCGTGGACCATATACGGTGTCTGCATAATTGAATTTGGAAAGTACCAGAGACTCTACTAGATTAATGCGGAGTTCAATGCTTAGAAACCGGCGTACCAAGTAAAGCACTTTCAAGCGATAGAAGCAGTTCATTGCTATTTCCTGAATATGCTTCTCAAACCTTAGGTCGGAATCCATTTGCACCCCTAAATTTTTTACTATCGAAGTGGAATCAATAACCTTATCATTCAATCTAATGACTGGTGAATAAGATACCGCCTCTGCAACTTGCTGCTTAGATCCTAGTATCATAAATTTAGATTTATCAGGGTTTAATTTTAAAGAATTACTGCACGACCAATTGTAGATGTTACCTAAATCTTTATTGATCTTCTCCACAGCCGACTCAATTTCCTCAGGTCGACAGGAAAGATAAAGCTGAACATCATCAGCGTAAAGATGTGTTTTGCAATGTTTAACACAGTTAATGATGTCAGCGCTGTAGAGAATATACAATAAAGGTCCAAGAATAGAGCCTTGTGGTACACCTCGTGTAACTGCTAAAGGAGAAGACAGTGCTACAGAGCCATTTGAATTACGCAATTGTACAATTTGTTTTCGGTCATGGAGATAGCTGTGGAACCATTTAACTGCAGATACATCAAATCCATAATATAGTAATTTAGAAACCAACAAAGATAAGTTCAAATTATCAAAAGCACGTGAAAAGTCCAAGAGTACCAGAACCGTACACAACCCTGAATCTTGCGCTTCAAGAAAATTACTTGTAACCTCCATCAAAGCAGTAGCTGTGCTCCTGTTTTTTCTAAATCCAGACTGTATCTGAGGAAGAATACTATTGTCCTCTAAATAGTCAATAAGCTGCTAGTAAACTACTTTTTCCAAGATTTTTGACAGACAAGGGAGGATGCTAATTGGCCTAAGATCTTTAAAAGTGGTAGGATTAGTGGTCTTGGGAAGGGGCTGTACTATAGCCGTCTTCCATTGTTTAGGGAAAGTGCTTGTGATAATAGATCTATTCACTAAAGATGTAATAGCACCAAGCGTGTTAGGAAGGGTTAACACAAGCATGTCCAAACTGATTCCATCAATACCCTGAGCATTTGATTTCAAAGAGCCAACGATTTTCGAAATACAATCCTCTCCTACACAATTAATATAAAAATTGGAAGAACCAAATCTATGCGACTCGTAATAAATAATATCAGTCAAATTAACTTTATCTGAACCAAGTGGTTCTACGAAATATTTATTTATATCTTCAACAGAAGAGAGATGAGCAGGGAGATCCGTATCTGATTTAGGTGGGAGAATATGTAACTTTAACTTTTTCCATAAGGCTTTAGGATTTCTTATTTGATTATTAACATTATAATTAAAATAAGCGCGTTTTTCATAGAATAGTGAAGAATTTACTAAACATTTCAATTGCTTGTAATATTGCTTGTGGGATTCCTCCTTAGTTTGCAAATAGCGCAAATGGGCTTCATTTCTCAAATTCATCATAAGTTTTATGGTGTTAGTGACCCAGGGATATGACTGTTTTTTAATTTGTATTGACTTAATTGGTTCATGAACATCATACAAATTGAGGAGTAACTCATTGAACAAAGATACCATTTCATCAACATTGTAACATTCGGATACTCTAAACCATGATAAAATACTAAGGTCACAATTAAATTGACTGAGATTAATATCTTTTAAAGGTCTATAACTAATTATTTTTGGAGGAATCGCCGGCTTTCCAAAACCATACTCACAGATAATCAGGGCATGATTTGCCAGTTTACTACCAACCATATCAGTTTTAACACTTCGCGGGAGAATATCGGTACACACAACGTCCAAGAGTGTCTCGCTATGGTCTGTAAAATGAGTAGGAGATGTGACCACTTGCTTCAAATTATGAATATTAATGAAGTCAAAAAATTTTACAGAATTAACACTATCTGGTACCAACAAATCAATGTTAAAATCGCCAAGCAATATCAAACCATCACAAAGTCCCAAAGAACTAATAGAATCAGTCAAGGCATTGAAGAAAATATCAACACCGAGCCACGGGGGTCGATAAGCTGTACCCATAAAGATCCTGTTACCATTAATGTTAACTTTCAACCACATTTGTTCAACTGATGGACATACAGGAGGCTGCCAAACCCTAACTTTAATACTTTTTCTGACAAAGAAAGCCACACCACCAGCACGTCCATTGCGAATGTTTAATGGTCTAGGTGTGCTCAGCAACCTATAATCAGGCAAAGTCGGGGCTCTACCTTCCTCATTACGTCGCAGCCACGTTTCATAATACATCCAAAGAGTGATGATCCACTGCCAAAAAAAGCTCATTGTGATTTTTACTAAGTGAACCTGGGTTATAAAAACCAACAGTGAAAAACTGTTTTTTGTTAACCATTAAAGTTGGAAAGCAATTATTATAGCACATAAAGTTAGATACAATTGTACACTAAGCTCAAGACACTGGCCGCCATTTGAATATATATAATAAATACATAGAAAATCAAACCACCCTCTCGGACCCAAATCGCGTATAAATAAACCAACATTTTGACTTTGATCCGAAAAACTAGTTCCACCTCCCACGCATAACAATCGCGAAAATCCAAGGATTCGATAACTATAAATATTCAAACTCGGAAAAGTAATTACTATAGCATACAAAGTTGGATATATACAAGTGCTATTAGTTAGAGAATGGCTGCTATTCAAGTAATTATAAATAAACAAACTTACAAACAAAATAGGATACTTCACGTTGTTTCTGCTAGATGAATATTGAGTATCAAAAAACTCACAAATTACTGACAAACAACAAATTATGCAATGCAAAATATTTTCTACTATTACTGACAGTTTTTTCTGCTTTTTCTCTCTCTCTTTAAAAATATCAACAAAAAATACACAGTAACAAACTAGCAGCAACAGCCTACATAGTTTAGTTAAGTAAAACAAACTTTGTATATGGATAAAAAAAAGTAAACAAAACCAATAACATATTTGGCAAAAAATAAAAAATTGCGTAAACCTTAGGGTTGGATAACTGTAAATATTCAGACTCAGAAAAGTAATTATTATAGCATATAAAATTAGATATAAGTAAGTGCTATGAGTTAGAGACCGGCTGCTATGCAAATAATTATAAATAATCAACACAAACGAAAAGGGATACTTCACATTAATTTTTATCAAAAAATTCACAAATTACCAACAAGCAACAAATATAGTAACGCAAAATACTTTCTACGATTTTTGACAGTTTTTCCAGCCTTTTCTCTCTGCCCTTAAAAATATCAATAAAAAATACACAGTAACAAATTAGTAGTAACAGCTTACATAGTTTAGTTAAGGAAAACAATCTTTGTATGTGCATAAAGAAACAAAACCAATTACATATTTGGCAAAAAATTAAAAATTGCATAAATCTAAGGATTGTATAACTATAAAATATATTTTAAATAATAAATAATTATTATAAATAATTATTATAGAATATAAAGTTATATATAAATTAGCGCTATGAGTTAGAAACTGGCTGCTATTCAAGTAACTATAAAAAATCAAAAAGTCAATGGAAAATAGTATTATTTTCGTGTAATTTTGCTATTTCAACCGATTTCGTAGGACATCGTGAAGTACGCATCGCAAACCACAAGTGACAATACAGCACGCGTTCATATCGTCAGTGCGGTGCTTCAAAGGTAGGAAATTGTGTCGCGATCAGTCAAGCTTTCAGTTCCCTGTTGAGTATTTTCGTCAATAAGCAACCTAGTATTTTTAGTATAGATATAATAGCCATTCTTGTTTTTCTGCCTAAACCTTTAGCAGTAGGTAAAGTGGTGGATGTTCAAGATTTAGTAGCAGTAGAGCTTCTCGTGAAAGAGTTGGTCCATGGAAATACTGCCACCTTACCTATTTCTGCCGTCAAGCAGTAGGTGTGAGTATTATTGCGTTCCGTGAAATTACAGTGCCCCTCAGATCTTTGTGTTTTAACACTGAGTGGCACTGCAACTGTTATCGACAGATGTGTCGCTTACCACCAGGCGCACCTGTCGTCCCGTTACTTCGTATCATAAAAAAAGTGTTTGTAAGAATAAATATAAATATAAATGTGATGTACAAATTTTTCAAGTTCAATACGATAATCCAGTTGGCACTCTGGCAACCCTGAATACGACTCTAGTACGGTCGTTGACCATCAATCTGTACATTATACCACAGCTGCAGTTTTAAAATGGAATCCGTCAAAGTCGCGCGTGTCTTGTATTTATACGTATTTTTCTTTGTGAGCGCTATCGCATATGAAATACCGAATGTGACAATTGAAGTGTTTAGCCCTAAGGGCTTTAAGGCATCGATACCAGGCAAGTGCCAGCTTTATAACACATTTCATATTTTAAGTTTTATCAAGTAATAGTAACCAGGAAAATAATATAGATTTTAAGACTTTCGTGGTTAGTCACTAAATGATTATCACTAATATCAGGTTTCTTACCACGGTATGACTTCTTTTTATTTTCCCGATATTTCCAGTCAACCCGTGACCATGGAACGTGCAACCGTTCCGAAATATCGGGAAAATAAAAAGAAATTAGTGATAATCATTTAGGAAAATAATAATTGTAATATTAAAACAACTTGCTCATTACTTTATTAACCTTATAATCTGTCGAACAGTTTATTATCCTCCCAATTATAATAAGTTAGTAACCTATAAGTATAACCTATTGTTGAACTTTACTAAATTAAGAGTTAAAGTTACCAGTTATCAGTGTTATTCAATGATATGCTATTTAAAAAAGTTACGTAATTGTGGTCAAATTTAAATAAGGTGCTTAGGTATCTAAAAACAAACATATTTTTTAATGCAATTAAGAATAAAATACATAGACAAACAAAAGATGAAGATAGTGGAGAATATATATAATAATATCCGAGTATCGTAATAATGTGGCATGCTACGGAGGATACACACAGCATATTATTATGTAGGTAGGTATATGACCTACCTATAGTCTGTATTTTTTGAAAACGGAGTAAAATGTCATTTCCTTGCGCAAAAGTGTTGCCCGCACAGACCACATAAATACTTTCCGTGGTTGCCCGCTTGCGAGCAGCTAGTGATTGCAGTCTGCTATCGACTGTATATTAGTCACGCTTATGGAATAATTAGCCGAACTTGTTTCATTTGAATCTTCCTCGACCCATTATTCATTCAATTACTGAGCACAAGCTCATTTGAATTGTCAAGTTTTCTAAGTTCATACATACATACCCTGAATTTAGAACTATGTTTATGAAAAATATAGAGAGGAGATATATTTTCAAGACAAATCCGTTAAAAATTCTTGTTCAAATGTATATGAACAAAAATTTATCTCGATACTAGTAGATCAATTGTTGAAATAAGAATAAAGAAGGCAATAACGCAATCAGTAATCATTAGAACGTCATAACTTTCATAATGCTGTAATTCTTTTTGCAAAATTTTATTTTCTTTCACAATCTATCGATAAAATTATCGACAACAATTACATAACTATTTAAAATTTGATGAAAACTGGCAACCCTACAAATGTCATTTTACTCCGTCTTCAAAAAAGACAATTTGTCTACCATTTTCTTAGGACTTAATCGACGCTGAAACTGGAACAACCAAAAATCAGCCTCTGTCTCGTCCGTAATGTACATTTTGCCGAGTCTTTTCTCTTTTGCGCCAATATGCACCTTATTAATCTAAAAATTACAAGGTACTTGTTGTTTTAGTGTTAAGTAATCACATTTCAGTGTGTATAGTGACTCAATTTATTGAATAACCGTTTTCTCTTTGTCTTACAGCGGTCTTAATAAGCAAATTTTAAATTAAATTTCGCATGTAAATTCTGAAAAACTCAGAGGCCTAGAGTCGAACCCATGGCCTCTGCTTAAGAGGCGGTAGGTTAACCACGAAAAAATGGCCTTATGGCTCGATTACTCTCAGAACAGCTGTCAAAACTCATACATTTATAATTTGAAACACTACCAAATCTCGATAATGATTGGTCACAGTTTCTAATTTAAAAACAAGTAACAAATTCTGGACTGTTAATATAATTTAAACTTTATCGTATTGGCATATCGTTGAAAGTTCAACACACCTACATTGCAAGTTAAACCTTTTGATCTTATGTTGAAATGTCAATCAATGTGGTGCCATCTAGCGGCCAACAACTGAACGACGACAAATTAGAGGTGTTGACTTAGTTCTCCAAAAAGAAACGACCATATTGCAGCGGTATAAAGTTTGGATTCGTTTCTTGTAAAAAAAATATTACGATAAACAGAAAATTTAAAATTTATTACAATTAAATAAAATACTTATATATATAGACTTGATGATTTGAAACACCGCCATAGATAACAATATTACAAATGCTACTATCATTTTTGCACTCCAAAGTAGGCATTTTTTTACGATTTTGGAGATTTTCGCGAGGTAATTGACGCAATCATAACGTACAAAGAGAAAATTGCGGACTACGCTTAAGAGCCATGCCAAAAAAGTTTTGACGTTGGCTCCGCCCAAATTTGTGCAACAAATATATGCCTGAAGTTCGCGTGACATGCGACAGGAGATGTTGAATTTTGCGCATTAAAAGTACCAAATTCGTTTTAGCGGAATGACTCTAAAACTAAAGGGATTAAAAAAACCGTAGTGACAGTTGTCGATCATGCATAAATATAATTAATTATCTAATTTTTGTCCTAATAACCTGTAGCATTTCGAGGATAAATCGAAAAAAATGTGAAAATTAGAGGTCATTTCGTGATTTTTATCTATAGAGGAAACTTTATTGTTTTATGTTTCTGATTAATGTCTATGTTTGAATATATCGTGTAGTTACTCATATAATATTTTATTTTTAAATTTAAAGTGGATATACCCCTCTAAAATCAAATCGAAGATTAGGAATTTTTCCTCTGCTCCCTCTTAAGTATGTGGAACTTTATGTACCTACTGTTGGCACCCGTACCACGCGAACTAAGCACCTCTACTATTTATTGTTCTATGGTTAAACCACGGAAGATATTAAACCATTTAGGTTAGGCCATTAGGCCACGGCTTTTTTAATGCTTTTTTAAGCCTAAGTGGTAGCCGTTGTTATTTTGTTATATACATATATAATTGTATCATGATATTTTACTACTATGATATTGACATATTTATTGCGAATGTTACTCACTCCGACACTCGGTCTGTCGCTCAGTTGGTAAGAGTATAGGCCCCGGTGTGGCAACAGACGCTGGTTCTAGTACAGTTAGATCGAAGGGATTTTCTTTGTATAGTTCGATATTTGTATCAATAATAAAAACCTTTTTTTTAAACATTTTTTAGACGATCCTGCAATAACACTCTTCGCGTTCCAAGGTCGAGTTAACAAACAAATTGCAACGAACGATGTTGGCTCTCTCACTGGAGAGATCACCATTCCCACGAACGGTCAGTGGCTGTACGAGGACCCCAACGTCAAGCTCAAGATTGGCGACATAATCTATTATTATGTCGTCGTAGTGACTAAAAGCGAGGGTGGAAAAGTTAAGGACCCTCTGAGATTTACTGTTACGAAGTTTAATAGTAAGTTTACTTTGTCCCTTTTTTATGCTATCAAGTGATGAGACGGAGAAGTCGTGGTTATAGTGTTACCAACACACACACGACACGCCTATCCATAACAGTTGCAGTGCCACTCAAAGCCTACATATCGCCAAAAATAAGTCGCTGAGATCTGTTGGGGCACTGCCACTGCGCCTGTCAACCTGAGACAAAAAGTTGACAAGTTCCATGTGTTTGTAGTTTGACCATCAGCATCCTTAACCTTCAAAATTGGAATGCGATAATGTTGCATTACTGCTTGGCGCATGATTTATTCTTCCCGTCATTTGATAACATAAAATATAAAATACATCACCGGCTGTTAATATAATTTAAACTTTACCCTTAATCATTACATTTATTATATAAGGCTGCCATCTAGCGGTCAATAGCCGAACAACGACAAATTCGGGACTTTTTACTTAGTTCTCCAAAAAAGAAGCGGCCATATTGCGCCTATTATATCGTCGGCTAAATTTGAGAATCTCGCAACTCCGTTTCTGGACGTCACCCCTTTTTTACTCTTCAAGCTCAGTATCGGGCAATCGAAGTTTAAAGAATAATTTGTAAACCTTTTAGTTATAAAGCTATGATAATAGATTGTTACATAATTATTTTTAGTCATTCTGTTTCTTGTGCCTATTCAAAAGTTCAATGGAGGTTACAAGGTTTACGGATTTAACCGACGATATTATATATTTTACAGACAACAAATCCTGTAGTATAATTACCGTATAGGAAACTTTCTGTTTAAGTTTCGTGCTATTACCTACTTCCGTGCTGCCTGTACGTCTCCTACATACAGTCACATATATTGAGCAACAACCGGCGAGTACCTTACATACCTTTTTACCACGATAGCAAATAATATACCATCCGTACATTCCTAGTTGAAATATAACGCTATGTAAATGGTGTATACGCCATCGTTAAGACAGTTAATACGTAATTCGTAATCAACTTCATGCAGACAAGAACACGACTGCATGTAGTAGATAACGACTTCATTGCAGTCGTTCTCGGCTCTATGGAGTCTGTTTCGTTATCAAATTCTTGCAATCGAGATCTCGGATAACGACTTCACGTATTCACTGCCAACATGCTGTCAATCTGTTAGAAGAAGATTAAGTTCTTAGCGGATGTCACAGAACCAGAGAATATACTCAAATCAAGTCACATAGCATTATAAGATGAGCACGTACGATACAGTGTATAACGCAGACCGGAGTCAGTTCTACACACAGAGAGACAAATAAATATGAATAAATAAATATTAGACAACATCACACACGTTGCACTGATCCCAAAGTAAGTAGCTAAAGCACTTGTGTCATGGAAATTGGAAAATAACGACGGGACTACAAACACAAAGACTCGAGACAATGTAAAAAAGTTAGTTTTTTTTTATTACATTGACCCGGCGTGGACCTCAGAGACGGCGACACCATGAAAACCGGCATGCAAGCCACTCGACAACAGATATCATCAAAAATGCTTTACAGAGAAAAAGCACAGGTGCTCGAGGATATACTTGCAGCTACTGCACCTTTGACGACTTCGTTGGCACAACGGAAGGCATTTCTCTCATAAATTGGTTTTTGTCTGGGTGTTCTGGCTAGTGGAATTCCCTACTTTGAGACCATGTAATTGATGTGGTTGTCCAGCGCATTATGATTAATTAAACCATGAATAAATTTCAATAAAAACGAAAGATTTTTGCCCGGTATTTAAATTGAGGATACGGTAAAGTACCCGAAAATGACTCATGAATATGATTGTTTACAAATAAAATTACTGCACGTAAAAGTGGTAGAGGAAACGTTTTTGTATACGTTCAATTTTATCTGAGTGAATTTGATAACCTAGGTTTCAGATGGTATGATAGTATTTTAACATGTAAATACTATATTATAATAATAATAATATAATTTATATCCCAACAAGTACAAAATATAATACACGATTGACTAAAGAGCTTAGGTATGGGAGACAAGAGCCCATTGGTGTTTGCTGTATTTGTCGAATACGCGAACAAGGTCAATACTTTGTCACACATGCTATCTACATATGGCCATTGTTTGCCAAATATATCAAATACGCAAATACATATTGCCATGTGAAGTGCCACCATAACGTAAAAACCAGAGACGAGTAAGAAATCAAGCCTTTCCGAGAATTTTCGCGCAGTCTAGGGATTTCCCTAGAAGCTACCGTCTCGTATCTAGTTTGTACGTTAAATAATTTACATATTTACAATTCGTTCCCCGGCCGCGTCAATGTAGAAAACTAACTTTTCTACGCGTATATTATCATATATTATATATTATATTATTATCTCGGTTCTGGATGTTTGAGGTATCGTCGCTGTTTCTGATTTCCACAATACAAGTACTTTAGATAATTATTTTATGATTAGAACAACGTGGCGGGGTTGAATTGGATACAGGTGGCACAGAACCGAGAGAAGTAGCAAAAACTGAATGAGGCCTGCACCGGTATGGTTGAGAACGGCTAGAAAGAAGAAGATCCTATAGTAGATAAAGTTTATGTCGCATTGCTAGTTTCAATGCATAGCAGCGTCGTGTCTGTTAGAACCTAGGCAATTTGAGGCGACTAGACTCTTAGAACCTATACACACTGCGTATTTTGGCAAGATGACGCGCGTTTACGCGTCGTGTACGCGCTGTAGACGCGCGTATGTATCGCGCATTTTGATAAGAGATAGTTTTAATTTTAGTTTTGTTTGTTAATTACAGTTAGTTTTTTAAATGAAGCAACTACATGAAATTTTAGGTGTAAACTCCAGTGTAGTATATAAGCTTTTTGCTTGCAACGTGATGTTTGCGTGAGTTTGAATCGATTCACTCATAGACGCGCGTTTATGGCGCCGTAAACGCGTGTTCGTAAAACGCGCGTCGTCAGCGTATAAAATACCTCGTGTGCTTATGCTCTTAGGGATCAAGTGATGAAATCAGTGTTGCGAAGGCTTTTACATTTCGTTAACTGAATAGTTACATTTTCGCTGCAAAAGTTACAATTTACAAGAAAAAATTTAAAAAAAAAAGTAACTGTAAGGATATGTATATACCTATACGCTTAAATCGTAAAAATACAAATGTAAGTACGATCAAGAAAAATAAGCTATAACCAATAATTTATTTAATTTGTTTGTGCCAACTCTCAGTTACCTTTTTCTCTAATTTGGGTGCGTTCTTAAGAAGTACAATAACAACTATAGATGAATTTAAAAAGTATCAACGTCCTTAAAAGTTACGAAAATTACTTTACTGTAAGAACAAAAGTTACTTGCATATTACGAGAAAAGGTCAAAAGTTGCGAAAAATGTAAGAAATGTAACCATCTGGCAATGCTGGACGAGATGCAGTCAAGTTTCGTTTATCTAGTTAGGAGATCTATTTGAAATAACCACTATCTGTTTCCAGTACCAGGTGAATCTGGAACGTCAGATTCCTGCAATCCGACGTTAACGAAAATACGAGGTGGTGTCGCGTGCGCAGGGAAAGTTATATTCGAAGACGATTTCAATTCTCTAAGAGAAGATGTGTGGCAGATACAGCAGTTCATCCCTATAAACCATCCGGTTAGTTTTTTTCATGATAACAAGTGACAGGACGAACAAGTCGTGCGCCTGGTCTTTAACGACACGCCTGTCCATAACAGTTGCAGTGCCACTTAGAGCTTTAAATCGCAAAGATCTTAGGGGCACTGCCACTGCGCCCTTCACCCTGAGACATAAGTTGACAAGTCTCACGTGCCTGTAATTTCACCAGCACCCTTAGCCCTCAAAAGGGAACGCAGTAATGCTCACTTACTGCTTGGCAGCAGAAATAGGTAAGGTGGCAGTACTTCCCTTGACGAACTCTTTCACAAGGAGTTCTACTGCTTCTAGAACATACTTTGTATTTTATAATAAATAACAAATAGAGATTTCACTTTCTTTCACAATCTATCGATAAAACCGTCGATAACAAGTACTTACACGACTATTTCAAATTGTATGAAAACTGGTAAACCTGCAATTGTTATTTTACTCCGTCTTCAAAAAAGACAAACTTAAACTTAAACGTATAAAATATAATGCAGTACATCTAGCGACAACAATAGGCGTCAAAAATCGAGCAAATTTGTATGTACTTTTACTTACCAACGCTGCCACCAAGAACACAAGCTTGTATGAAGTTAATATGAAAGAATCCTTAACGTGTTGTCAGATAATATACTGTTTTGACTCTCATCATCAACCCATTTTTACATTCCACTACTGGGCACGGGTCTCCTCTGAGGAGAGGGTTTCAGCCGTAGTCCGCCACTCTGGCTCAATGCGGGTTGGGGAATTTTTACTTCTTCCTCTAGTTGTTTTACTTCACCGAAAAGTTCATGACAAATTTCAAATTAAATTTCCCACATAAATTCCGAAAAACTCAAAGGTCGCTTGGATGGCGAACCCACGGCCTCTGCTTGAGAAGCATTAGGTCAAACCATACCGTGAAATTAGACTCTCAGGTGGATTCAAATTGTGATTGCACATAATTTTTTTCACAATGGCACTTTATTAATTCAATGTTGCAGGAATATCCTTTCGTCTCCTACCAGCGTCTGTTTTCAGACCCAACAGTGTCAGTAGTCAGCGGAAGTTTGCGCATCGCTCCGAAATTGCAGCAGGAATTGCCGGGTTTTAACAGCGAATCTATTGTTTCTGGTTCTTTGAACTTGCTCAGTGGGTGAGTATTTACAAAGTTGTACAACAATATATCGCGATAATATTATTTGCTTCTACAATATATAATTGATCTATTGTAAATGTACACTTAGTAAAAAGACGTCGGATCGAATCCGGCCGGACCGAAGGAATTATTTCTGAGTGTTCAATCTTTGTATTAATGATTATAACAAAATAGAGTTTAAGTTGGAAATCAAAATTTAACGCTTCTCTGCAGCACTTACAGAGAATAATAAATCTTCATATAAAAATTACGTGCAAAGTTAGATATTCCTAAATAATTCGTTTTAGCCAGTTTCCAGGGTTTTATATGATCGGATAAAGTACATCTTATCGTGTAACAAATTAGCACATTCCTTAGACAATATATCCTTAGGTGTATCGTACGTACCCATATTTTTATAAGTCCGTTGTATTTAATAAGTACATTTGATTAAGCAAAACAGTTTTTTCCGCTTTTCCTCCTGAGACTCACTTTAATGTGAACTTTTAAGTCGACACAAAAAACTGAATTAGGTACTAGAAACAATTTTATATGGCAATCTATGATAATACCTTTATTTTATAACTAACAAAGCGTCTAGAAATATAAAATGGATTCCGCTCAAAAATGGAGTTACAAGGTTTTCAAATTTAGGTAATACAAGTTACGATTTCGAGTTGTATGTATCCGAAATTCGTAGGTTAAAACAAATTTTCGTGACAATTGAAATTCTGGCAGGGCAACGTTAGTATAGTATCAAGAGACATGGGGATACAAAGGTATAGAGACATTCAAAAGTGAAGAAGCTTCCCACACTTTAATATTTTCATATTGAGTGGATATGCCCAGTTTTTTCTTTTTCTAACATCATCTTCTAATGCTTTATAAACGTACATTTTTTTTCTTGGATCCATGACAGTATGACATAATCCCGTACAAAGGCTTCAAAGCAACTGAATAAAATAAGTTCGTCTGAGACGCCCCAACAGAATTTCATTCTAACGTAAACTACAATACTCAAAAGCGCGTCTGACAATTTAAAAAAAAATGCGCTCGTCTAGCCTCACCCTTAGCTACTCCCGAGTGACTGATAATTGGTTTGATGAATATGCTTGAATATATTTCTATTCCTCTTCTTCTATCTAAATCTATCTTTCTTCCAGCTGCACTGGAACTGCCGAAGAATGTTCTATGCGAGCATCGGGCGCCAGTATTCTTCCACCTGTTGTCAGCGGAAGAGTCGTCAACAAAGGATTTGCCTTCACCTACGGCATTGTAAATATTAGGGCCAAGCTGCCTCAAGGCGACTGGATTTATCCAGGTAAGTTCTTTTTATGACGTCTAGTGACGTGATGAAAAAGACAAGCATACCCATAACGGTTGCAGTGCCACTCAGAGCTTTAAACCGCAATGATCTGAGAGGCACTGCCACCTACGACCGTCACCTTCGATTCTCCAATTCGCATAATCTCCCAGTACACTTGCGTTGCATAGCGCGGGTATTTGCAAGCTCCATTCATTTTAGAATTGAAATGGTCGCTTGGTGTGTCAGAAATGACATCAAATACGTGTAATTATTGTTGTTTGTGGTAGTCTGAACAAGAATTTTTGAAATTCAGAATTGTTCAGCATTTAATTTCTATTTTATAATCATACTCCATAATCAATCAACATACTAATTTGAGATGCTGGTATAAACACCAATACGTAAGGACCTACTGCATTTAACAAAGGTTATTTCAATATAGCACGAGAATACTCTGATAATATAATACTCTGATGAACACCTTAATTTTTTCAAATGATGTTTATCACCTGTAGTTACAACTAAAATAATAATGTAACAACCCTACGCTCCGAGGGAAATGTAGGCATTTACGCGTCGAACAGGCGGAAGTTGCCCTACTTGCTCTTATATTGTGGTATGGGTCTGTACACGACGCGCATAAATGCAAGCTGCGGTGCCTATGTCTTATTGTACTTGTTTATCGTAATATTATCCATTGCCACTTAAACTGCGAATTCTTTAAATAAAAATATCAAGGTAGTTATCTCTTCATCATCATCATTTCAGTTTAATTAATGCAATTGTAAAATTCCATTTCTAGAAATTCTCTTGGAGCCTTTCTTGAAAAAATATGGCATGACCTTTGCATCTGGCGTCGTAAAAATTGCATCGGCGCGAGGAAACAGAGATCTATCATTTGGATTTGGAGATTTACAAAACAATGCGGTATGACTAAAAATGTGAAATGATTGAAAAAGTTTTCTTCCTACCTTCCTACATTTGGTCTTAAGTAAAGTACATGTATATATACTGGTTATGCTTGACTCCAGTGTTGTGCTCAAAACCGGAGTTGTTAGAAATATGGTTGTATGCTTATCATATCTTGGGTCCAAAGGGTCATCAATATTGAGGTTCTACGTCGAATGGGGAAAAAGTTGGAAATACGATGTATAGACGAAAGGAAGCTGCAGTATTTAGGCCACGTAATGAGGGGCAATAGATACCGGATTCTTCAACTAATAATGCAAGGGAAATTCAAGGAAAGTGTAGTCGTGGTAGAAGGAAAACCTCGTGGTTGAAAAATCCGAGAGACTGGTTCAATCTTAGCACATGTTCCTTCTGTCGAGCGGCAGTTTCAAAAATGATGATAGCCATGATGGTCGCCAACCTATGTAGAGAAGTCTTCTTACGAAGAAGAACTGATTATACATAAACATTGACACCTGAGTCCACAAGACAGCCACTCGTTGTTTTCTTACGACGTAATGGTATTTTCAGGTTCTCTATGGAGGTCCAATCATGGACGTCAATTGTCGGGGGCATTTTCTCTCTGAGAAAGTGCTGAACAACAGCAAAATGTGGGGAGATGACTTCCACGTCTACTCTGTGAAGTGGACGCCGGGTTAGTAGATATGCTACTATTATAGTGTAACTTTGAACACAGCGGCGGCACAACCACGGAAGAAAAAAGAACAATGGAAGTCCCTTAAGCTTCGTTTGCTAGCAGAACCGTTGTCGCCTAATCTCACATAATCACATGTTAAACACTACGAAATCTTGATAATGATTGGTCATAGTTTCTAATTATAAAAATGTAACAAATTCTGAACTTGTTAGTGAAAATTCCATACATATTGTTGCAAGTTGTGACGTTTTAATTTTATATTCAAATTTCATTCAATGTGCTGCCATCTAGCGGCAATTGTTGGAAGAATATGAGACGACGAGCGATTAACATTCTCCAAAAAAAGCCAACCATATTGAAGTGGTATAAGGTTTACTTTCGTTTGTTATAACAACACATCTTTTAAGATAAAGAGAAACTGGGAAATTTATTAAAATTGAAACGACTTAACGATGATATGAAACTCCACCATTACAAAGTAGCAAAATAAGGCATATTTCCATGCTTTTCGAGCGTGAGATAATTGTCACGACCATTACGTAAGTACAAAGCGAAAAATGGCGAACTGAGCTCAAGTATGTGGAACTACGCGTACTGTTGGCACGCGTGCCCCGGCCTCTAAGTGCTTCCACTGTATTTATTGTTCTGTGTGAACAACGCATCTCTGTAGATGTTCCTAATTGAGAAGATTTTTAACTTTTGATTATTCTGTGCTTTTTGTTCGTTTGTTTAACCCAACCCAATCTATTTTCTTCTATCGTTTTGATAAATATCCGTTTTTCTACTGAAAAGCATACTTTTTATTGCCACTACCATTTGCCCTTCTCATTATCTTGGTCCTTCGAGCCTTCCGAGCTTTTTATATAAGATAATTAATGGGTAGGTACTACCAATTTTTATACCCTACGAAATTCCTCCTTGGTGCCTGGGATTTAATTATTTGAAAGTAAGACGTAATTATGGTCTACAGGCTATTGGTGGTAGAATCTTATGAGGAGATTCTGATTGCCCAGAATTGGTGGCAGTTATATATAATTTGCTAGTATTAGTAGCTTAATATTGTCATAACTGTTTGCAGATATGATTGCGCTCCTCGTGGACAACCAGGAATGGGTGAGAATCGAACCAAAAACTGGCGACCTGCATGAGCTCTTACCATCGACCAACTGCACGGACGTACTACACGATTTGCTGAAAGCCACCGGATCTAAAATGGCACCTTTTAATGACCACGTGAGTTCTTTAACCTCGACAAAATGACTTGGGACTATATTTAAATTAGAACCGTAAACTTGGACATTCCCACCACACACTTCCTACGCTACGCTATTTTATATGCTAATTTATACGCTGATAATATCAGAATGTTATCAAGGTGTAAAAAATTGAAACAATGGTTCTTCTTATGAATGGTTGGTCTTTCATGATTCCGTGCTAATAGGTAATTACTTAATAATTATCAAATACCAAATACCCGGAGACAGGATTATTTAATTTCATTGGACTTTGTTGATCCCTATCATTGACTTACAATTATATGG